AAAAAAATGGGCAGTAACTTCCTCCTTTTTTTGACCACAGAGTGCTCATGATTTTCAAGGAAGCTTGGGGGGAGGGGGGATTAGTGTATGTGTCTTCCTAGTTGCCCCTATAAAAGTCAGCAGGAGAGAACCATTCCCATATACCCAAGGCCCTCTCTCCTGCACCCTGGCTTTGGGCTCTGAGCTCTGAGCTGTGGCTTCTGTTCTCTAGGACATGGCAGGCCCCACCACCATCATCACCAGCCTCCTTCTCCTGGTATTTTGTACACATTGCATCATCCCCACAGGTAAGACTTCCAGTCCCAGCCTGGGGCTGTCTCACCAGGTTCTAAGGGCACTGCTGGGATGGCACAGTGGACTGTGAGAGGGCGTGCACCGTGAATTACCAAGAGGTATACCAAGCTCTGTATCTGAGGCCAAGAAAGAGCCTATGACAAGCTGGAAGCCGACAAGCCTCTTCTTCATCTCTTTCAGACTCTGTGACCATACCCTCTTCTTGCTGTATGTCCTTCGTTCCCAAGAAAATTCCAGAAAATTGAGTGATTAGTTACCAGTTAGCCAATGGCAGTGTCTGCCCCAAAGCAGGAGTGATGTAAGTATCTTTCAAGGACCAAGGGGCCTCCAGGGTACCTGCGGAGGAAAGTCACTGCTGGGCAAGAAGGCACTTGGTCTCCTTCAGCTTCCTCACCCATAAAACCAAGGAGAAGCAGGGCCAGGGCATGTAGCTCAGGTGGTAGAGTGCTTGTCTAGAATACGTGAAACTCTGAATTCAAGCCCCAAGATTTCATTTGAAAAAAGAAGCAGGTGTGGTGGTACATGCCTGTAATTCTAGCATGGCAGAGGGTGGTTAAAAGGACAGTGTCAGAGGCAGGTCTTTCTGTACAATGAGAATCTGTTTCAAAAATGTCAAACCCAACACAAAGAAATCATTCATGAAGTATCAAATATATACAAGGCTCTGTGTGAGGAGGGAGGTATATCATTTGACGTTCGCCTAACTACCCTCAACAATTCTAGAGAACCTGATTAGAATCCTCCAGTATGGGCTAGGGGCA